AAGACAGAGAACAGCTAATGGTTCGCTGGTTTTTGCTAAAAAGCTCGACTAGAGGAGGATGCGGCAGGACTGAAATGAAACCACATATGACTGAGGGTGTCATTGAGGTCAATTTTAATGAGAAAACGCTGCAGCATGACTCTCAGTCCTGAGAGGTGTATCAGATTGAAAACAAGCATGTACAGCAGAATTTATTGGGGCCAATAAATTTCGTGACGGCTTTTCAACTGCAGCCCGTCTCTGCATAACATAGGTAACGAATGAAAGCGCACAGCAGTATGAATTTGTTTAGAATGGCAGCGCATAGGTCAAAGTTCAAAACAATCAATAATCAGATAAGACGTCCACATAAGCATCAAAAAGGAAAAAGGGAGACGAAACGTTAACAACAAATCACAGTCAGGGGAAAATAGAGGCGTGAGATTACCAGGGCAATTACAGATTGATCACGTGATCTAACTGCTTGCACAGGTCTGATTATTGTTTTGAACTTTGACCTTGCTCTTATGCACTGCCATTCTGTACAAATTCATACTGCTGTGCGCTTTCATTCGTTTACCTATGTTATGCAGAGACGGGTTGCAGTTGAAAAGCCGTCACGAAATTTGTTGACCCCAATAAATTCTGCTGTACATGCTTGTTTTCAATTCATACTCGGAAAAAATGCTCCAAAATTCTCAAAAAGTGAATCGGATTATCACGTCAGTTGGCAGTGCTCCAAGTCACGTCGCGAAAATGTCAAAACTCACTAGATTGCTTATAGTGGGGAATCCGCCGAAGTGCCGTGAGTACGCGGGTTCCCAGAGTTGATTCGAAACGGTGGCAACAAAATCACAGTTTGAGTACAGTTAACGTTCCGACCACCTGAGCTACGGGGACCCGACCAAGAGCCTTGAGTTTACCACATTTGGGCCGAGGTGCCCTCCCGATGTAAAGCTGCATGTGAAATCCATCAGTTCTGACAATAAAACGCAATAGACACGCCATCGGACGGAATCTTGATATCGCCGCAGGTCTCATTTTTTCTTTCGTCAGGGGACTGACAGGGTATAGAACGGATTTAAACAGAAATTAGTGTGTGAACTTGGAGTACATTCTTCGGCCCAAACCTTCCCAGGATCTGTCCTGGAATTCACATGAATATTTGGCGGGAAATCTACCAGACTCTGCGAAATAACTGCGTCTTATTCACAATGTGTTAACATGGAGTCAGTGGAATATGAATACAGGCCGAGAATTGATTGAAGCCTGGGCCTCGGATGAGAACTCGGTCAATCGATTTATCGATCTGGCGCCGGCGTACAGAGCCCTTCGTAGTCACCTCCAGTCGTGAGACGTCGGCCGATGATTGGGTCTACGTGCCTTATAACTGCCGCTTGCCCTGTTTCTGCCACTACCTCTTACGATGGACTCCTGTACGAGTCTGAAAGCTCAGGATAATAAACGAATTGTTCCGGTGCTCGACACCTGGAACTCGAAATTTCGCCTTCATTCGTGAAACATTCGGGCGCGATGCGCTTCGGACAGCTCGCAGCTGGGAGTTATTCTCTACACGAGAGGCAGCAACATACGAGCAGCTACGTTTTCTGCACCGATGTCTCCAAGACGAACTAACCCCACGATGCCTGAGATATAAAGCTCC